CCCAAGATTCTCCCTATCTCCGTCGCCATGGACGTGACCTGGCACCGTATTTCGTGTAACCCCGGGTAGAGAAAAAACTGAGGTTATAACCCAGCAGTCTGGTGAAACACCAGGCTGACCGGTCCCATCAAAAAGGCAGAGGTCTTACCCCGCCGCCGAGGTTGTTACCCGGCACTCGCGCCGCGGCAAGAAGACGGTGGTCATCACCCCGTCGCCGAGGTCGTTACACGGTACAATACCGCTTCGACAGGACGAAGGTATTACCCCGTCGCCGAGGTCTTCACCCGGTCAATCGCCATTTGCCAAGCTTACCCGTCACCAGGGGCCGATCCCCTGGGGTGTTGGAAAGGAGGTCATATCCTTCCCTCTAGAGTCACGCGTCCAGTTCACACCGTTGTTGCATGAGTCATTTGGGGTCGTAACCCCATCCTGGTGTGGATTGAAGTAAAGAGGGCGTGCACCTCCGGAGAGAAGAGACCCCCCCCCTCCAGAACCCGTTACCCCGCCGACCACCCAGACCGCCGTTACCCACTCTCACTTCGGGTACTCCGTCCGTCTAATAATCTCGCTAGCAACAGCTAATAGACACCTAGTTAACCGATCTCCGACTCCGCCATCATTTTTTCGAGATTCACTTTAATTTTGTTTATTTCTGTCTTGTTCATTTACCTAAATTCTGTTTTATTAATAAAATTCTGAAAATATAACTCAACTAATTTAATTCAATTATCGAGACCGTTACCTCCCCCCCCCTGCCCCTTCCACAGTAAACACAAGAATCCTGGACTCGACGAGCTGAAGGCACGTGGAGGGTATCACTTCCTCTAGAATCTACGGAAAAAAAGTTCTCTACAGATTTTTGGCGCTCGAACAGGGACCTGACCGCCGTTTTTTTGCTTTCTTTTTAATTTCGTGTGAGTAAGGATTTAACTACAAGTCCAACGACTGAGAGGTCAGAGACTTTGTTGAACAAACCCCATTGCTTGGGGGATCTTTAAAAATGTCGGATTCACGGGAAGGAACCACCTGGATATGGAGTTTAAGAAAAGCAGAGCTCGTAGCCGAATGTGAGAAGAGAGGAATTGTGGTCGAAGAAGGAGCCACTGTGGGGGAGTTAAAAACCCTCATCATTGAGCATATTCGTCAAATCAACAGGTCTAATTCCCAACGGAATTTAAATGAGCCAGAAGCTGGAACAAGCTACTCACTACGAAGTTTGAATAATTCTCGGGCAGATATTAACGCATCTTAAAATTCTTTAAGTAATTCGATTGCAGGAAGAGGGGGAAACCCCTCACATAGAGATAATGTAGTTATCATTACTCCAAATCGGCAAGACCGTAATTTTGAGGTCACACAATGTCTATCCGATCTAAGTGGCAAACAGCAACGACAAGAAAGGCCAGTGAGGCACACGGCTAGGCTCGAAAGTACAAATTCGACCAGACGAAACTCCCTAGCCAGCCTCGTAGATAATGACCGAAGCGGATGGACGAACTAAGCACGGCTTACCAGTGGAAGGACAATGTATTGTTAAAATGCGTCCCGCTAGTGCTCAAAGGCGAAGCTCTGCTGTGGTACCGCAATAGTAGCCAGGATTGGCGAAATTGGAAGGAATTCCTCATAGATCTAAAAAGATTTTTCTGGCCCGTAAACTTAGATGTACAACTGGAAGATGAAATTAGAAATAGGACTCAAGGTCCCGACGAAACGGCCAGAGACTATATAATAGCCACACAAACTCTCATACGGCGTTATGGTCGAATGAGTGCCGAAAGTCAATTAGAGCGAATATACCGCAATCTCCGACCAGAATATAAACTATATGTACGTCGTTCTGATATACATCACGTAAACGATCTGCTGCAGTACGCCGACGATTATGAGAAAATTAGTAGATAAGCAGGGCCGGTTCTGGATCACTCTGCAATACCGGCCAAGTCAAAAAAAGTGGGTTCTGATCCGCACTAATTACCGACCGCGATAACTTTGACGATAAGTTACCGACCGCGATAAGTTATCGACACTGATAAATTATCGGCAGCGATTTTTTTTTTACCAACCTCGATAAATTATCTTCAATGATAATACCGATTTTTTACCAACCGCGATTAAAATTTCACTATCAGCAAAAATAACTGATTTTTTTTCAAAGTTTTGTCAATGTATTGATATTCTCTCAAAATTTGCGCTACCAACTATCAGATTTTTTTTTGGAAATAAATGAATGAAAACAGTAATCTTTTTCATGTACACAATTTATTTATAGCAAAAAAAAAATTTGATTAATACATGAATAATATAATCATAATTATATAATATGTATATTTTTTACAATATTTTATGTTAGTTTTCTCATTTGCGCACTTAAAGGTTTATACTCTATTATTCGATCATGTAAGATCAAACAATAGGCTGATGTGTTAGCAGGAAAAGCTTTTGATGATTCAAATTCCAGTCGAACATCAACTGGTCCTGATTTTAAGGATTCATTTTGTTTAGAACAATCAATTACAACGAGTGGTGCTATATCTATAAATTTTTTTTTCGTGAGTAGAGGTTCTGCTTCTTTATCATAATATGATGTTTGGAAATCTCTATACATATCATATAATAAGGCAAATTGATTGTGACTTATGTCAAGATTCATGTTGCCATATGGATAGCATTGTGAATTGAGGAAAAGTTTTACATCCCTTAAATCACAATGATCGAAATGACTTGCATCTTTTGTAGCATTATTTTTGCGTGCAGTTTGAAATCCTAATATAACATAGCGGGGCTTTTCCAATTGAGTTGATGTTTTTACGACCCATACGTGTTTGGTTGTGTTCGGCAGCATTGGATATTCATATAATTCCCATGATCTGAAACTCACTGGAATCGGTGGGTCTTTTGCAATGTAACTTAACAATTCTACCTTTTTCATGTCTGCAACAGTGATATAAGGAATGATCCATTCAATTTTTATAAGCGTGATCGTCTCTTCAGGTTCCGCTGTAGCTTGTACAATTGCATTAAGATCGGTATTTGAACGAGTAAGTATTAATTCATGTTTGGCATTGACAATTATGCGATGATAATCTTCAGCAAATCCCAATAGCATATGTAACGGTATCGAAACATCAAAGTATCCATTATCATTAAATAATCTTTCATTATCAGTTACCCAACCTGCATTATCTAAATAATTTTTTTGACCTGGATGAAGAGATAGATATCCCTTCATGAGACTTGTAAGACCAACATTTTTATTTCGATCAATCTCAACACCATTCAATTCATATCGTATTTCTTCAAATAAATAGCATACGGCCATATTAACGAATCTTGATGTTGCTGCTACTGCATTTCCGTTAGATTTTGTAAATTTCCCCATAATATGAAGGGAACTTTTGCTTGGCAACAGACATAAATCTTGATGTTGAACTGAGATATGTATCTCATCATTATTATTATATGTTGTAGATGCATATGGTTGATGAGCATGCACCTCAATGTGTGCAATAGACTCATCAAATATGACACCTTTGCTTATTGCTAATTTTTCTTCTTCCATGGTAAAAGACATGCAAGACAACACACTTTCACTTTAATTTTGTTGCACTTTTGCGTATTTTTAGTCCCAGACTTTGTAGGAATAATCGATTTTGATAAGTTAATCGTTTGAATTTTCTTCGATGACTGATGGGATTCAGGCATGATATGTTAGTTTTATAGCTTCCCCCTACTATTGGTTTATAAACAATCCCCATTACGTGACTGATTTCAAATGTAAACGTATTGTTACAGTTTCACCACGTAAATTAACCAATTGACCGTCTTGATCAACAATGCGCAGTTGTAAATTATGTATTGTCTGTACGGTGATTGGAAGATAAATGACGTTTGATGGAACTTCAATGATCTTATATCCTGGTGGAACTGATGGGAAAAATTCGTGAATCGTATGTACCAACTGATTATTCATGTATGCTCCTGTAGTAATATTACATTCAATCCTTAATGCATTAATTTTCAAGATAGATACTGGTAAATCTGATGTGTGAGTCAATTTTGGAAAAATAACTCGTGGACTAAAGCCCAACAAACTACCAATAGAATCATGCGGTTTGAAATTTATTGTTGCATTTTCACTGTAAACTTCACTGTGTAGTTCATTATTATTGGGCTTAATAGAAATTGATAATTGAGTATCAGCTTTCTTCAAATAATTTTCAATGTCTTCAATTTCATAGCTTCCTGTGGGTATTTTAATACTTTTATCTTCACCATTGAGTGTATAATAAAATTTATTATTGCCGTTATCAATATTTGGAATGGAATTGAAGGTTAACAATTCCACAAGTCCTAAGGTATATTTTTTAGATGATGATAATTCAATTGGGGGAAAATAAAACGCTTCTAGAATGGACGTTTGTCCAGACAATGTTAACGTGAGTGAATCATCCATGACTGATGCTTATTGGAAAGTGCATATTACTTTTATACTTTTCTACGTAAAAATTTTAAACACAAGTGTCCGCAATTATCTGTACTGTAATCTTGATGTTTTTCATGATTGTACAGTATTTTATCAACATTAAGATATTTCATAAGCTCATGTGGTGGCTGCAAATTGCCAAAACTGTCATAATATATAACTTTATTACCACGTTTTTTATATGCCACCCAATGAGTTCCAGGTCCAGTTTTATCATCGAGATTAATAATTGCTGATTCATTTTTCCACGGTGAAGATTTTGGAAGATCATTTCACATAAAAACACCACGAAAAAAGGGTATTTTCATGATTTTTGCATATTTTTGAAGTTCAATATCAGTCAGTGCACGATGGGGTAAATTTAAAAGTTTTTTTTTACCGGTTTCAAATACAATCCTAATCCTCTCTTGTGCGGTTTTAGACGTAGACCTTTACCCAAAGCTATTGCTTCCATTTTCTCGTTATGTCGTTTAGCTTCTTCTAATTGACGTTTGGCGTCTCTAGCATCATTAATTGCTTTCGCAATGCCAGCAGCGCCACCTGCTACAGCACCAACTGCACTTAAACCTGCAAATAGAGGTATAAGAGGTAAAATACCTCCCACTTTTGGCGGCATTGGTATAATACGTGGAACTTTGATTTTTTTCTTTCCACCAGCATCGCGAACAGTCTTTCGTGCAGCAGCTAATGCAGATTTAATAGGATCTGAACTGGAATTTAACATAAGCTTTGCTGAATTAACAACTTTTCGCAAATGTTTAACTCCCTTGTCCTTTTTGTTTTTTTCTTTCAAACCCATTCCCAATTTTGATTTAACTTTCATGACGTTGGAAATTCCTAAAGCAGCAATTCGTTCAGCAATATCTGCGTCTCTCGCAAAAACACGTTTCATAGATTTTTCAGCAAGTATTCTATCAGCTGCGTTTCTAGCTTCAATATTATCTCGATTTTGCGAATATGCAATATCGTGTTCTTTACAAGCAGCGTCCAATGGATTGATTCCTGGATCTCCACGTGCTAATCTCTCCTTCAATTTAGTTCCTGGACCACAATAATGATATCCTGGTATATGAAGTTCAAATGGCAATTTGTTTATAAGTGTGTTAACAATACCAGCACCTCGTTTTTTGATACGTCTTTGCACTATCATTGTTCAAGAACGACTAACTCGACACCTATAAAAGATGTAAATTTATAGCTAGAATGTCATTCTACATCAAGATGAAGTTCAATCAACAAGACATTAAGTTGCCTGTAATTAACTTTGACCTATCACGAGACACAAATATCAAACGTCACGGACAACTTTTACCAAATAGTGTCCGTGGTGTTATTTGTGGTCCATCAAATTGTGGAAAGACAAATACTCTTTCAGCACTTATTGTACATCCAAATGGCCTACGATTTGAAAATATTTATTTGTATTCAAAATCATTTAACCAACCTAAATATCAGTTTTTAAAAAAAATAATTGAACCAATTGAAGGTATTAAATTTTATGCTTTTAATGAGCATGAGGAAGTGGTAAAACCGGATGAAGCAAAACCCAACTCAATTATGATTTTCGATGACGTAGCATGCGAAAAACAAGATAATATGCGAATCTATTTTTGTATGGGATGACATAGAGAAATTAACTGCTTTTATCTTTGTCAAACTTATGTACGAATCCCAAAATATTTGGTACGTGACAATACAAACTTTCTTGATCTTTTCAGGCAAGATGACATGAATCTAAAACACATTTACGATGATCATGTAAATACTGACATGACTTATTCTGATTTTTGAGATATATGTTCACTGTGCTGGAATAATGATAAATATGGCTTCTTGGTAATTGATAAAGACAGTGATCTTAATAATGGGCGATATAGAAGAGGATTTGATTGCTTTATAAGTATAAATTCACCGTGAATACATTAAATTGTACATTATGTATGTGATTGTCAAAGTGTCAACATGAAAACTACGAAGCTGCAACAAGAAAAAAAAATATTGTATCAAATAGCGAAAGTTAGTGATGCAATACGCCAAAAGCATAAATTGATTAAACTTGGAAGAGATATGACTCAACAAACCATGAGTGAAATATTTAAACCTATGGTGACTCCTCTTAAACAATTAGCTGATAGAACACTTATTAAAGAGGAACCTCAAGAAAAAAAATAAAAAAAGAAGAACCTAAAGAAGAGCCTAAAGAAGAAGTTGAAAGCAAACAAGAAAGCCTTACACCTGATTATGAAATAACTGATGATGATTCTTATACAACAGCAACAATTACCCATCAAAGTACTCCTATTAAAGACATACCTGTAGTAGAATTAGATACAAAGTATGGCATACGAAAGTTAAAAGGTAATCGACTGATGATGGGTGATTCTGAAGTCAGGTTCGACAATAATTTTATTTATATTGGTGATAGAAAATACAATACTACTTCTGGTCTATTGGAATTATTATTTATGAATTCACCTGATCAATCAAAAATAACAAAAGAAAGCATTATCTTCCTGACAGAAGTATCAGAGTAGATAAGAATTTAAAAAAATTCACCGACATAATCAGTAAATATATACCAAAAAGTGGAGGAAGTTTACCACAATATATGATTAAACATAAACAAAATCATCCTACCGATTATATTTATTGGGATGATCCCAATGAACTTGTAGATCGACTTCGTTTACTTATTGCATCTCAAACTGCTGGAAATTTCAGTCATACTAACGAAATTTTATCAATTTTAGAGGAATTGCGTGAAGCTGAAATCTTTTATTAATCTGATGTATTCTACACAGCTACTCATTCTTTGAAGAACTTTTGAAGTGAGAGGTTTAAAAATGAGTGTTGACGTTTTTGGACGACAATTAGCGAAAGATATTGTGAAAAGTGCTGTTCGTGGGCCTCCTGGTGAAGGATTCAAATTAACTGTGGATCAACAGTTTGACATGGATAATAAGAGATTGTGTAATCTCGCTGAACCAGTAGATTTGAATGATGCAACATCATTAGGAGTAATTGAAAAAAAGATTACAATTTTAAAAAAATTTATTGAAATAGAATTACGTCTGTTACGCGAAACTGTAGCGAATTTAAGAAGAATTGTTGAAGAAAATAGAGAAAGAATCAAAATCATTAATGTTCAAGTAGAGCAACATATTGAATCATCACAAGAACATCGTAAACGTCTGAAAGAAGAATTGAATGAAACAATTGAACTGCATGAGTCAGATCGATTACGTTTACTGAAAAAAGCAAATCGTAAACAAGCTGAAAGTATTAAACAATTGGAAGAAAATATTCGGAAATATCTTGATCAGCAGCATCATGAACAAGGAGAAAAAAATAATAACTGAAGAGCTGCATAGACCGGTCAGAAGAAATTATCAACGACGACATGTTGATATACGTGGGCTTGATGAAACTTGGCAAGCTGATCTAGTTGACATGACAGCATATAAATCTTATAATAAAGGTCATCAGTATTTATTGACTATTATTGATATTTTTTCAAAATACGCTTGGGCTGTGCCCACAAAATCTAAAAATGGTAAAGATGTAGCCCATGCAATGAAATCGATTCTATCACAAAAAAGAGTGCCAAAATTTTTGCATGTTGATAGAGGAAAAGAATTTTACAATAAAGAATTTGAAGCACTTATGAAACAATATAATATCAAAATGTATTCCACATTTAGTAATCTTAAGGCATCTATATGTGAACGATTTAATCGCACGTTAAAAAGTCAAATGTGGAAACAATTTACGTTGCGAGGTAATTACCAGTGGATAGACATCTTACCAAAATTGATGACATCATATAACAATAGCAAACATAGAACCATCAAAATAAAACCGATTGATGTTACTTCAGCCAATGAGAAACAATTACGTCATACTATCTACAATAATAAACTTGAAGTTCAACAAAAAATAAAAAAGACTAAATTTAAGGTTGGGGACAAAGTACGCATAAGTAAATATAAGCATGTCTTTGAGAAGGGATACACCCCTAATTGGACAACTGAAATCTTTAATGTAAGTCAAGTATTGAATACTGATCCAGTAACCTACAAGCTTGTCGACTATCAAGATCAACCGATTGAAGGAGGTTTTTATCAAGAAGAATTGACTAAGGTTCAATACCCTGATATTTATTTGGTAGAAAAAGTTCTGAAAAAACGTGGTAATCAAGCTTTTGTCAAGTGGTTAGGATTCGATAAAACACACAATAGCTGGATTAACATAAAAGATTTATAATGTCTCTAACTGATGAGTTAGAAACAATGACTGCCAAAATGTCTTTAGCTGAAGAGCTAGAAACAATGGCTGACAAAATGTATAGTGATGCTCAAAAATTACCACGTTATACAAAAGATAAAGCTGCTAATATTAAATGGATATCTTTAACTCATAAAGAACAACAACAAATTAAAAGAGAAAAAAAAATAATTAAACGTCTTGATAAAATTAATAAACGAATGTTAAAAGAAATTAAAAAAAATAAGACCAATAAGAATGAAGATGATTTTGTCATATTATTTGTAGAAGATGAGTTCAATACAAACTAATGTAAATAATTTATAATATTTTTTTTTATTGAATAAATTTTTTTTTTTCTTACAAATTATTTTTTTTTTTTTAACATAAACCTCATATTTAAAATAATTTATTTACACTATTTAATATAAATTATAACCCCAAGGAAGTGTATCAGTTGTTTGTGCTAGAAGAACTCTTTTATTGTCTTCCCAACTTAATGCTAATTTTTGTCTACTAATTGTATGTACTTCATGTTTCTTGCTGACTATATGATATTCCGTTTTACATAATTTTTCATGATTAAGTAAGCATTTTTTGTAATCATCAAATGTTATAGATTTTATTGTTGCAGTTTTGACACCCTTTGCTTTACTATATTTGTCTTTTTTATTTTGAACTTTAAATGTGTACATTTTTGCTTTTAGACCAATGAATTCCGTCATTATTTCACCTTTATTTTCATCTTTCATAAGACCTACAATTTTTTTATTAACTAATGGAATATTAAAACGGTTATTTGGTGGATAGTCTGAGGTGTCAAATTTATGTATATTATCTTTGATGCAATCATAAATATCAGCATTGAGAAATTGATAAATTAAACTATCTGTATCTGTGTATAATAATTTTACCTGATTGTCTGTAAATTGTCTTTTAATTAAATTGTAATGGAAGTCATAAATAAACATTTTTGAAAGATCTAAAACTACAAATCCTACGTATATCGGCTTATTGAAATATATATTTTTTCGCTCCATTTCTATTATTACCATGTCATTGTCAAAAATTATACTATTGTGGAATTTTGGAGAGGCAATGAGATTTTTTGCACCATACCGACCTTCCCACTGTGTAACTAACTTTACATCTTTATACTTCCGAACGTTTTCCATTGTTTTTCCGTAAACTGCATTATTCATTAATTTATAGAAATTCTTTTCAAAATCATTTTTAGATTTTTTTCGTAAATCTGTATTCAGATCTACATACTTCTTCATCCATGGTGATTGATTAAATTTAAGGATCCTATGGATTTTGGTTACAATCATTCCTAAATCGAGACATTGTTTTAAATTTCTGTAGTGAATCACATATTCAAGTTTAGGTAATAATGTCGTCATAAGTTTGCTGCTATTGCTGTTTGGAGGTTTACGGTGTTCAGGACACAATGGCAAATCTTTATGATGCTCGTGTAAGATTTTTGGATACTCTAAATCAACCTCGAAAATGTAACCAACTGGAGAATCATTGGAGATATTTTTAATTATTTCACAGATATTAGAAATATTGATGTCATCTTTCACCCATTCAAATGATCCAGTTGGTAGGTACTCACTCATTGCTGCTCCATACAAATTATTTACATCAAAATACATGAGATATGATATATTTTCATTGGGGTTATAATCATTACACATATACGGGTTATTTGCTTTTGCATATCTATTTGAACACTGTGCCACTCCTCCTCTAATACCTTTTTCTATGAAATTAAGCATTTCCACATTGTCCAAGAGTTCGAGTTCAATTTCTGTATATTTCAACATAGCATCAAAAGCTAATCCAGGTGCAGTGTAGTAATGTAACGGATCAAGCTCATAAGTAGAGATACAACTTTGTCTAAAATTTTGAAAAATGTCTGCTAACAGAAGAACGTCTGTTTTTAAATATAAATCTGAATATTCACCGAGGGTGTTTAGTTGAAATTGATCCCAAACGTGGCGTGCATGTTGGTAATCGTCATCGGAAATGGCCGAATCGTTGAGTTTCGAATAGAATTTTGTTTTGTCAGGTAGTTGTCGTTCGTCAAGTTTTTCCCAACTGTCAATACATTCATATGGGAAAACACCTTTACGAGTTACTAACTGAAATTTATCTGGCTCGGGATAGAAACTTTTGGTAATTGATTTTGCATTATTATCCAAAAATGATGCAAGTTTCTCAATACTATTGCTCATGAATCGGAAAGAATCAATAAATCGTAATTTAACAAATATTTCTTTTTTTCTTTTTTCGTGGGAAATTTTCTGATCAACTGTTTTTGTAAATGCTATGTATTTTTCTTTATTGACAGGTAATAATTCCATATAACCTTTAAATGATGCAGCTAATGATTGAATTTTGATAATTTAAATTACAATTAACATGAGCAGCGCCTCGATAATTGCCTGTAAAGTGACAGTGATCATGTACTTTCGTTTCATCATGTAAAAATGATTTATTACAAATGTGACAGATTTTTGCATTATGAAAATCGTTTAACTGTTGGGATGTTAATGGTTTCATTGGTACTGCGTTTTCTAGGTAAGTTTTGACAGTTTCAGCTATTTTTTTCAACTCAGTCATGAACCAGTTTATACAATTAACGTCACGTTTAAGATTAAATCGACATTTTGAATTGTCATATGTACAGTGCATATAATAGGCTACACTACATGGAATATGCTTTTGATTACCTTCATTATCAGGTTCAAGAATACTCTCAAGATCGGCATAGATAGCAAATGGCACAGGCTGTTTAAAATGAAAATTTTTAAATTTTATTTTAACACCTTTTTCCGGAAGTGAAATTCGCGTATCATTCATATTGATACAATCTTTTTGATGATTTTTATATGATTTTTCTATCTTAAAGTGATTTAAACATCTATCACATAAGAATAGTTTGTGTGCATTTTTAGAAATTTGATTTCCAACTAATCTTGAAAGATCCTTTATCAGACAAAAATGAAAAACTGGATTAATATTATTATTTTCATCACCTACTTCTACTCTACTTTGTACCATTAACAGGTGAATACATGGCTCATCTACTTTATAATATTTACTTAAATATAACGGAATAATTTCACAATTATTATCTAAACCATACGTACAGTCATCTAAACCATACACATTTATTGGTAAATCGTTGAGTTTTTCAAATTTTGGAACATCATGTAAGGTTGTGGGACAGTTGATACCCTCACATTTTAACACACTTTTGTAATCAGGATATGAACTTGTTCTTGTTGAATTTACAAAAACAGGATAAAGAGCTGCAGTAACAGCCCAAAAGAAACAACATTGATCGTTGTTTTTAATATTTAGTACTGCTTTTTTTTGTTGTATAAATTTTGGTAGAGGTATAAATGTAGATTGTCCAGCTAATAGAGGTTGATAACGATTAATATTGACTTGCAGATATTCAATTTCTACAAGTGACCAACCAGAATCTCGTTCTTGAAAATCCTCGACTTTTGTTAGTAGTTTGTCAACAACATTTTCCAGAAAATGTTTTTTTATGTCTGTTGACGGCAAAATTGCTTCATTTTTAACATTAAAGTACTTAATTTCTACAACTGTTCCATCATTTGTTTGATTACTGAATTTACAAGCAAGGACAAAGTTCACTTTTAAATTTCCCTCACTTGTTACTATATCTGTCAACTTTTCGGTAATCAGCTTTTCAGCGTCCAATAAGAAGTCTCGTAAATTTAAATGTTGCAAGTTAATGACAACACCAGTGCGAATTCGATTTTGGAAAATATTTTCTAAATCTTTCCATCGAATCAATTGTTCTGTTGATTGAAGGCTTCCTCCAACGATTGAATGATTTATAAACTTTTCATGTAATGTTGCGAGTGCTGCAATTATCGATTGAATTCGTTGTTTTTCACCAACCGATAAACCACTCGATTGCAAATGTCTGTTTAATGTAGTAATATTGTCACTACTAATTCGCACCCACTTATCAATGATTTCACTAGATTCATGATTCAAAGATGGTAGAAGAGTATAAGCCTCCTCCATCATTTTAATTAAATCAGAATAATAGTTTAATGCACTCATTTCTTTCGACTATACTAGACAAACTTCAGAATTACAATGATGAAAAAGCGTGTTTGAAAAGATTTATATAGGATTTTGGATGACCTTGTAATGTGGTGCCATAATCCGAAAAAATTTCTTGAGAGTTCGAGAATATCAATTACCAAATTTAACCGTCATTAAATAACGATTTTCTTAAAATGTAGAGAGGGGAAATATTTAAATCAAAAGAACAATAATTTCAAATATTTATTGTATTCATTATTTTTGTAACATGAAAATTTTTTTTTAGATTACATTGATTATCGTAAGATTTACATTTCATCAATTGTATCCATTATATTTTTTTTGTTTGACATGTAAAATTTTAGATTACATTTCATCATCAACTATGAATTCAAAAGAATTGTTAGCTCCACCATGGTACAAAAATGATAATCTGTTGTCAACGGCCAACTCAACCAATTTTTCAAATTCTTTATGATTTTCCAAAATTTTCACCGTTCTTGGAGGTAAAAATATCATGTAGCTATTTTTAACTGTTGCCACAACTTTTGTTCCATACACAGTTTCAAGTTCTTTTAAACCAGTAATTTTATACGTTTTAGACGGTTTTAATGTATCCATCTTTTTGGTTGGTAAGTACGTCTCACACTTGGCAATTTTATTTACTCTTGATAGATCCATTTTTACTGTTTTGAATTATGTATAACAATGTATTTCTCACAGTTTCAATTGATCAGTGATTTTAAACATGAGTCGCATGGGTATAAATACAATTCATCCCCTCCAAAACAAAGATTCCAGAATGTTTCAATTTTTGATGCAATCATAAATTAAAACATGCATAAAAAAACGTTTGCATAATGTTTCATCATCATCCCCCGCTGAAAACTTCCAGAACATGTCAAGGCTGTGAATCAGCCCTGAGATCATTTAAATTCTTGCTTGATTTTCCAAGAAAAAATCGAATGCATAATGTTGCATCATCATTCTCGCTGAAAATTTCTAGAATATGTCAAGGCTGTGAATCATCCCTGAGATCATTTAAATTTTTGCTTGATTTTTCAAGAAAAAATCTTGAGGGGTTGGCATGATGTTTCATCATCGTTCTTGCTGAAAATTTCAGACTATCGAAAATTACATATAATGAAAAAAATATAATTTTATAGACAATCGTTGTAGTGATCAAACAATAAAATTAGATATTATAATTTTAAAGTGGGGATAAACATATAAATAGATGATTTACCAAAAAAACTTTTCAGTTGGGTTTTACATTTTGGCATGTATACAAATTTTTGAGCACATCATGGAAATGATATTGGATGTTCAAGGTTTCAAGCAGCCAAATAATCAGTTTTTAGTGAAAGAATTGGCGACTATTACAATCCAAGATAATAGTGATGGTATGGAAGACATTTCAGTGATAATTTTTAAACCGCCATATCAGTGGGAATATTTACCTGAAAAATATAAATGCATAAATTCGTGGTTGATACGTAATTATCATGGCATTCCATGGAAATCTGGAACAATACCATATGATAAACTTCCATACATTCTTCGTGTACTTGTTAAAGATCGAGACCGTATTTACGTGAAAGGAGATGAAAAGAAAAAATGGTTAGAAAGTTTAATTGACAACTCAAAAGTTGTAATTAATTTGGATGAGCTTGGATGTCCTTCGCTACATGTTCTGGATATGAATCATCTAAGAGATTGTGGGGTGCATAATGGAGAAAATAAAAAATGTGCAGAAAAGAATGTAAAAATTCTAAAAGCATGGTATATGGTGAATTTTCATGAAAAAACTCCATTTGAGAAGTCATTCAAATTGTATTGTTTATTAAAAAATATAACAAAAATGTCAAGTGAAGATATTGCTTGTCTTCCAAAGTATTTTTTCTTGAAGATTGTTCCAGAATACATCGACGATATTTGGGATAAATTACCGGAACATTTACAACTCGATAGAGATATCTTATTGCATCGTAAATGTTACAAACATTACATGTCATTAGATCATACAAGAACATTGAGAATTAATTGTATTGATTGTAAAAAAGAAAAATTCATTCATTCAAATACATAAAATAAAAATGTATAATTTTTATTTCTTAAATAAAAATTCTTTCTCAAGATAAAAATCTTATTATTATTGTTAAAGAAGTCATTTAACGTAAATAATTATAAATCATAGTTCAGAAAATATAAAATGAAAAAGATAATAATTTTTCGTTTCAATAATTTTTTTACATTTAAAATACGTTTAGTTATGATTACTCATACAGTAAATAAAATATTTCAATTGATTATTCATGATATGTATTCTGTCTTACTTCAATAAGTAACAGAGAATGAGAGCATAAACAAAGTGAAAAAGAGATAAGGGTGAGGAAAATATGATGCAGTCGACCGACTGAGTCAAACGTTAACGTTTCTAAATGAAATGAAATAAGTCGATTATTTTTCGACACATGGCCCTTTCAACTCTTGCATGAATCACAGCTTCTTAGCGGAGAATGAAAGTATAGACAAAGTGAGGAAGCGGTGGCGGAGCGAGGAAAAGAAGATAGCAGAGGCATGAGCGACAAAGAAAACGCGTTTAATTAAAAATCCAATCGAAAAAATATGTGTCTAAAATTATTTATCCATAGTAGAGATCGTTTACAAACTATTTTAATAATTAAAAAGAAAAAATGTCATTTATAAATTTTTTTTTAGTGAGAATTTTTTCTTGTTGTCAAATTCTTTTCTTTATCTGTAATTTGATGCTGAGTGATGTGATCAAGGCCTCTCTATATAGATTTAAATCAATATCGTTCAATGATTTTTTCACCATTGGCCTCTTTGAAAAATATAAACATTTAGCCATGGTGTATGATGCATAGGACAAAATATTTAGTTCATTTTCGACAGTCAAACTGATCAAACCATACCAAGTAAGTAGTGACTTTTGCTTCATTCAAGTATAAAAAGTGTGTTTTTTTTTTAATTTTTATGCATTAATATAATTATTTATTGAGTGTAATTGTGAATTTTATAAATTGTTAAATGATAATTTATCAAGTGGGAGAATTTTTCTTTTTTTAAGTTTGAAAACAATCTATCATAATCGTTATTACTTTTTAGAAAAAGATGTGCACTTTTATTTTTCCGGAGGCCTGGTTCGACCTACCGATCACCCTCCTAGAAATTATTATTCTAATGACACTTGAAGATCATTGGGAAGAGACGGGAGGGATAGAAGGCGCTACCCTTACACTTTGTGGCGTAACGGCTACCTGCCTAACGTTCCCCGGTAACGTCATATGGTTCCGGATAGAAGGAGACATCTCCGTCGTGCCACCACCTCTAAGCCAAGAAATCATCACTGTCGAAGACAGTGATAGTGAGGTAGAAGTTCTACCTCCTTCTCCAGCGACTGTGTCATCGGAGGATAGTGAGGTAGAATTTCTACCTCCTTCACCTCCAACAATTGATGACGATGATAATTATGATGATGATTCCACTGACTATGATGATGGTTATGATACTGTAAGTCTTGTTTTATGATTAGTTTTTCTAGTTTTACTTATATGAAAAAAGTTATTAAAGCAAATAATTTTGATTCTTACAGGTAGATTAATGCTACTTGGGAACCATCATTCAAGGGATCATTATTTTTTTATAAAAAAGAAAAAATATATTATAATTTTTTTTAATAAAAAAAAAAAAAAATTGACTTGAAAGAGAAATTGTTTTTACTCTAAAACGTTTTCCCAATCATCTAACATCCTTGAAACACATCATCGCCATTTTTTTTTCTACGGTTATTTTTTTTTGCTGATAATTATAATATTATCGCTGAAGATAATTTATCACCAATCAGGATCGGTAAAAAAAAAAATCGCTGCCGATAATTTATCAGTGTCGATAACTTATCGCGGTCGGTAACTTATCGTCAAAGTTATCGCGGTCGGTAATTAGTGCGGATCAGAACCCACTTTTTGACTTGGCCGGTATTGCAGAGTGATCCAGAACCGGCCCTGCTTATCTACTAAAATTGAAATTTCGAAAAGACAGTTCAAGCAGCCACCACCGTCACAAAACACCGTCATGCCCGAAACAGCCTATAAGGGAAGAAATCCTAAAAGAAAGGAAATGGTGGTAGCAATGATCAATCAGCCATACGTCTCCGGCGAGTGCTGCTGAAGATGCGGACAGAGGGGTCACTACAGTCCACAATGTAAAAACCCACGAGTCTTATTTTGCTCACGGTGTGGAAAAAAAGACATTATGTCCCGGGACTGTCCCTGTCCGCCAACGGGAAACGAGAGATGGGCCGGAGTGACACCTGCAGGCCGGCCCGAGAAACAAGAAAGGCAGAACAACTGTTACTAACAAGAGGAAGCAGCGACACCTGTCAGACCCGGAGGCAAAGCCAGCCGAGCTCCACAACGGCAGATAATAGAGAAACCATCAGTAGTACCGCAATCTCTATCATTACCAATACCAGTTACAATCCAAGCCCAAACAACATCGAGTGCCACGCACCACTCTACAACATAGAAGGTACCGACGTGCGTCCTTTTCTAGGTGTAGAAATTGGAGATAGAAAGATATGGGCACTCGTCGACACTGGTGCCACTAGAACATGTATCAACCAATATCTATGGGAATACCTCAAGAAGAACAATCTAGTGGAGGGGTGTAGACTACAGGATTGGGTGGCACGGGTGGCCGATGGCCGTAAGGTCAAAGTGACAGGGACCGCCATATTACCAGCGAGAATCCACGACCGACAACTCATTTTAGAAGTAGCAATCATGCCAACAATGCCAAGAGAGATGGTGCTAGGGGTGGACAACTTAATCCGAATTGGCTATCAAATTAAATTCACGAAAAATCCAGATGAACCCAGATTCCGTTACGAACCCAGATTACGAGCTCGAGTCAATCGAAGACCTCTCTTGGGCATGGGCGATAATCGAAGAAGAACTGACACAGAACCAAAAGGTATCAGGCCGCACTCACCTCACAACTCACATCATCAAAGTAAAGGAAGGGGTAGAACCCACT